ACAATTATTATGACTATCTTCCTGTTGCAAAAGCGCAATGTTTACATTTAGATAAACAAAGTAGAAAGATGCAAACTCCCTGACAACATGAGGCTGATGACGGGTTCGCCGTTACGAGACAATTATCTCATGGATTACATAATATCAGAACATAAATAATGAGAAAAACATGTACTCATTATTTTCTGTTGCATTTTAATTTGAGGCAGCAGAATCTGAAAATGAAATCTCAGTATACATAAGCAAACAATATGTTAATAGTCATATAGTTTTTTTTTAAGGTAAACATCAGTAATATGCTCTAGGGACTGTACTGTATAGCTTCATTTAAAGATGAAGTTGAGTTCTGGTCATGCGATTGCATTGAGAAAGAAACGGTGTGGAATCGACCAGAAAAGGTTGATCATCTAGCATATAAGAATTTGTGTGTATTGCAAGGTTCTGGAATCATCAAAACGATAAGAAATTTGGCCAAGTCTTGGTAAAGTTACAAACACTGTACGTGGCGTAAAAATCCTACCCTGGTTTTTTACGATGTTGCATGACATATTTAGAATATGAGGGCATTTGAAGAGCCATGCTTTTCAGGGAACATGTCTTATCTGATGTTCTTCCACACTTGCATAATAAGAATGATAACGCTCACAAATTATTTTTCACCTCTTCCCAGAACTCAACCTTCTCTTTAATACTTTGATTACAGTGTTTGAACTAAAGAGCATGATTTAACCAGGCAAAGCATACATTCTCTGCTTTAATTGCTAGAGACTTTCGCATCATTTGGAGTAGAATAGAATCCTGACTGTGGGGGAGAATGAGAGCATCTGTCAAAATACGTCAAGTTGGTTGATGACAAGCAGCTCATCCTGATTAGTAGATTATTAGTCCCAAACCATGGACACTAGCTAAAGAGTGGCTGATGGAATGATGGATTTAAGGGGCGCAACCGGCACAGAGTCTCCTTTAAAGCCAGCTTCGGTATAATGTACGACACACACAAATGTGCAGCTAAATGTGTGTGCCCCTTTTGAGACTCTATACCCTAATGGGCGCCCAAGAGAAAGAGAGAAATATTGTTTTCGTGACGATGGGTGGGGGGGGGGGGGGGCTTGTCAGTGAATATTAAGGTATAGCGGCACTTGAGTGTAACAATATGCTTTTTATTGTTTATTTATTCTTTTATGAGAAGATATAACAACCGGGGTCCGTTCCAGCCGTTTGATGATACCATTGATGGACAGAGCGAGGACCAAAATAAGTCCGTACCCCCCCCCCCCCCCCACCCTATCATATATTTTGAGCGACGCCGCTCCATCCGCCCCTCGACATAATATCTCTTTCACTTCTATTGTTCCTTTCTTTCCTTCCATACTAATCTCCATCCTTTAATTATCTCTTCACTTCATTATCTCCTTGTATGTAAGTCACACATGTCGGAGAGCAAGGAAGGAACGTGTTTGAATTGATGTGTAGAAAGAGGAAGGGGTGGGTGCGGAGTGACACTCCCATCAAAATTGTATGTGTCGGCAAATATAAAATTCTACAGGCTGTCTGCAGTTTGAAAGAAGGAATGGTGACCGTTTTTTCTGATTTGAGGCACTAAAGAACAGTATGTCTATATTCAACCGAGTTCTCAAATCTCCCAACCCCACCCCCCCCCCCCCCCCCCCATTTGTGAACTGTCAAGTGATGCCCCTATACATGTCAGTGAAGATTTATCTAGGGGACAATGCTTGTGGCTTGTTTGTACCGGGTAACGTAGATAGAAATTCTTATCACGAATTGCTATCTACCCTGCCGATGTTTGCCGATGTGAAGTGAATTCCAAGCAGCTCGAAACCTCACTAGTGAGCTCTCAGAGGAAAAGGAAGAGCTGTAAAAGGCTCTTAGAGACCACAGTATTCCAGCCTGCTTAACCCTTTCAGGATAATGTCTTTTTAGGGCCTAAATTGATCACATATTGTCTTCAAAATGAGGAAATTGGTAATGTGTCAACTTGTGCGAATTCACAAAGTAGGTTTGTCGACAAACATGGTTATGTGCTCATATGACGCGTTTCGACGCGTTTCAAACCAAGGTACAAACCTAGGTTTGAAACGCGTCGAAACGCGTCAAAAATTATGACGCACAAAAACCTAGGTTTGTCGACAAACCTCCTTTGTGAATTCGGGCCAAAGAGTTTAAAGCGTATTTTACAACTCACATGCGCAATGTAATCATGAAAATGGATGCAGTGTGTCCAACAATGTTTGACTTTTGTTCTCATGTATCGAGCATAATTTGTAGGGCTCTCATCGAAAATAATTTAGGGCTTTAATTCACCTGTGATGAAGACGTTTTTGCTTTACAATTAACTGTCCGTCAGTGTCTGTAGTGTTCTGATGGGAGCAAACTATGAACTATGAAACACGGAGTACTTTCCACAAATTCATCCGCAAATAATTGCCATCCGGTTCATTCTGATGATGTAAACACGGAGATGAAATATGAATAAATAAGAGCCTCGATCGAAAATTATAATTCCATTACTTCCTCTAAAAGCTAAACGAATTCAATGTGGAAATTAGCTCTATAATATAAACCAGATAATGTACCAGTGCCACATGTACATGTTGTATCATAATGGATATATATACCAAAGACTTCAAGATTATTTAAATGTTTCGAGAACGGAATGAGTCTATACTGGTGTTAAAAGGGTTGTCATGGAGCTAATCAAGACCGAAAATGTTTAATTAAAAAAACTATGTTGTTGCAAAAAACGATCTTTCCGTCAGTAGGTGCATATTGTTTGGTGCAAAAACAAAGTGCAAACAAAGTATTAATGAAAAGATAATAGGAGTGCCTGCCATAAACAATATATCGGGGAATGTGAGTCTATCTTTCAGTTTGGCTTGACACCCTCCCCCCCTCCCCCTCCCACCATCTCCCATCCCACCCCTCTCCCCTTCCCCCTCCCCTTCACTAGAGCATGAAGATGATTGAAAATCTAAGCTGCGCTAACATGTAGAGACTGAAACTCATTTATTCGACATAAGTTTGAATTGCAATATCTAATCTCAATATATCATTCGTGTGCGGAGCAAAAAAAAAAGGGGGGGGGGGACACATATACATATAGCATGATGTGCCAAAAAAGTTTAGACAACCCATACAGAGAGCATACTTAATTATGACCCCCATATCTAGCACCATAGATCGAAACGTCTGGTCCATAATAATGAGACGCCGTAGAGAAAAAAAATATAATAATACTTGACAGAAGATTATTTTATGAGTGTTCATTGTGCATGTGCCTGATGTTGAATAAAGGTTTTCGGCAGTCCTCCGCACGAAAGAAAAAAAGATCCCCGTAACTATGTGTCGCATTGAGAAATGATTCAGACTACGGAGAGCCTTCAGTCCAAATCAAATCATCTGTATGTAATTTCCTGGCCGTGAATACAATCTGATTTAGATATGAAGTTGGTCATCGTTACGTGAATGAAATGAAATTATATGACGTCTTCATACATCGTTTATCGTCTGCATGGTCTGGCCAAGTGAAATAAATATCTTAACATGATTGTTCAGTGACTGACAATTGGCATGATTGGGAAGTGTTTTTATTTGATTGCCAAATGATAGGCCCGACGTTGCGATTGCATTATGTTTTAAGGACGAATTCACCAAGGATTTCATTGTTGTATGCATGTCGTATTTCAATTTTCCTATTCAAAAAGATGCCCAAGCTTCGGCGATATAATGCTCACAGCGTATATACTCTACGTGTCTATAGTATTAAGCAATTATCATCATCCATTTTTTTCTCTGCCAAAAACAAAACAACATAAAGACCACGCTGTTCAAATGATGATGATGATAATGAACAGCATTTGTATGGCGCCATATATCTGCTTCGAAAAATATTCAAAGGCGCGAGCTCCTACAATAAAATTAGCATTTAATATCGAGCGTACATAATGAGGTACCTTATGAAGCCTTACATTTTGTAATTATTTTCACGCAAAATAAGCATCCCCCAACATAGGCTTTACATACTAGGCATTATTTGTGTATTAATTCTTGCTTTATTCGTGTGGGAGGGGGGTGGGGGGGGAGAGAACGCAAGATAAGTGAACTTTAATTATATCTCCCAACTCATTTCTCTTCTTCTACTGTCCGCCTCCCTCCGATCTCCAATCCTCCACTCTCCCATTCGCTCTCTACCCCTCCCTTCTTTCTCTCTCTTTCTCTCTCTCTCTCTCTCTCTCTCTCTCTCTCTCTCTCTCTCTCTCCTATCCCCTCCATCCCTCTCTCTCCTCTCTCTCTCTCTCCCTCTCTCTCCCTCCATCTCTCCTCTCTCTCTCTCTCTCTCTCTCCCTCCATCTCTCTCAGTGTGATGCTGTGAATATTTTTAATTAAATTTCCATTATCAATTTGTTTTGATTTTTGCATACAATGCATACATACATGCATGTGTCCCGATCGTTAAAATGTTCATTTTCTTTGATACTCCAATCTACCACTAATCCACTTCCCAAGCAAACAACACGTCCGTCAATACAATGTATCATGAGAATACATGCTTTTCTTAATGTTATGATCAGTTGGAGGAATCTTCCTTCGGTTATTTTAAAACTACAGACAACGGTCACGGTACTTCCATGGAAATAGTAGATATATAGCAGATAAAGCCTAATAAGATGCGTTACATGCGTAGAACAGTCATGCCAATTTAAATAAATATATCAAAATAAAGCGGATTGAAAGATTATTCATAGATCCCCAACTTTTCGAGATAAAATATCAAAATCAACTTTTTCCTAATTTCATTGCTGAATAATACCCAATTAATTGTCAAGTGATAGGCTAAATGAAAATTATATTACATACCATGCATATACCTCTGTGCGATTTGTATCACATATCCAATTACAAAACGAACACTAACATGACAAATGCAATGTAATGAACGCGGAGATGTATAGTTATATCTGTATATGTAGGAAATAACTCACCATCAAATTGCAGAAATGATACCGCTACTGTATTTTAACGTCATCCTGAGTAGATGATATTACGATAATTCCACATGGTAGTAGTCAGAGCACATCTTGATGTAAACACGAATCTGCAATGCTGCATATCATGACTAGCAAAACGTAGATAAATAAGTGGTATTCCAAACGTTAACTCAAACGGCAAGAGGTTTCCACGAGTAGGAAATGTTAAACAGCGAGCGAATGGTGAGGTATTTCATCGCTTAGTAAATGCTGCATTGGTTGAAGAGTGGATTCTACAGTGTTTGTTGACTGTATCACATACAAAAGTACAAACGAAATAGGAGCGAATTTGTACGAAGCATGTTGTGTAGAGTAGTATAATGGCTGATGAAGAAACGCTAGGACACACGGCTAGCGCCTGTTTACTCGTGGGGTTTGGCGCGCAGTTTGACGTCACGAATGAGTGAAAGTGGTGACGAATCTAGCGATAGAACATTGAATGGAGAAAAGAGAGAGAGAGATGGAGGGATGATTAGGGCAGAGTATTATGATTATGATGTTGTGACCGAAAGAAAATATGGAGACGGACAAGAGAGAAAGAGAACGATAGAGAGGGGGAGTAATGAAGGTATTAACGGAGAGAGGAGGGGAAAATGGTGAGATGGAGAGATTAAACTAGAGATGCCAAAAACAACTTAAGATGGATGGAAATAGATAGAAAGATAAATTGAAAATTAAATAGAAAGATTGAGAGAGAAGAGAGAGAAATATATATATAGAAAGATGGAAAGTAGCGGTAGAAAGATAGAAATAGAGAGAGACAGGAAGAGATAGAAGGAAGTGTATTGAGTTAGAGAGGGATCGGAAAAGAGTGAGGAAGCAATAGACTGAGAAACAATGACAAACAAACATACGAAATTCATTGAGAGTGACAGAGAGAGAGAGAGAGAAAGATAGGGAGCGAGAGAGAGAGAGAGAGAGAGAGAGAGAGAGAGGGAGAGAGAGGGAGAGAGAGAGAGAGAGAGATGTAGGGGAAGAGGGGGGGGGGGTAAAGGCTGAAAGAGTAATGAATTTTAGATGTTGTGATGTTAGTAAATTGTGTATAGGGTACATAAAATGGAATATTAGATCACTTAAAGATTCTGGGATCTAAGCCCTACTTCAAAAGTACTATTATAGAGAAAAGCTCATCGGAAGTCACCTGAGAAAAATAAATTGTTTATGATGGCGACACATGGGAAGAGAAAGTGCACTAGCTCACGCGTTTGTTGTTACTATGGTTACGCTTCTGCTATTATGATGATTTACTGTACTATCATGAAAATGGTTGTGCATCGTTCCGTTATATTTTGATCCATTGAAACGGTTACAACGAAGGTTCATAAATCCAAAGGTCGTATTTCCTAATGTTCGTAATTCCGAAATGTCGTTTTTCCGAAGGTTCATAATTATCAAGGTTCGTATTTTCCGAAAATGAAATAGGGTTCACAATTCCGAAATTATATGGGGTTTATAATTCCGAAAATGACACAGATAGAACCCTGTATCATTTTTTTGTAATTACGAACCGTCATAATAAAACTCTACTTCATTTTCGGAACTGAACCCTTTTGGCATGAGATATTCGTATAAGGCTTTTGGAATTATTAATATTGGGAATTAAGTATTTTTGGAATTATGAAACTACGGAAAAACGAGTGCCTTCCATTAAAACACTACGGTGAATTAGTTTATAGATCGAATGCAAAAATAATTGCCTGGCTATCTGCAATCAAAATGCGCCTGCCATTGGTAATTTTAACTATAGGCTAGAAGGATCAGACTTAATAAAACACTTTGAATCTTAAAATAGGATATTGAACATTTCATCTAAGCCTGCTGCTACCCTATAAACATCTCTTTTATTTGACTCACCAGTAAAATAAACAAAAAATCGCCAGCTTACCGATTTGCTGTTCTTTTAGGCCAGAGCCCACAGACAGTCCGTTATATCTTTCCGGTCTTTGTTTTTATTGCTCATGGTCATGATGGTCAATTTAGTCATTATACTCTATAATAGAAGAAGGTTCGATATATATATATATACGATAGATGACATGGCAAATAAATGAAAGGCAAATTAAAATTCATTCCTAGTATCTCGTTTTGATTTTTTTTCTTTTTGAAAGTGAAGAAGAGAGAATCCATTTACCTGGTGTAGAATTCGCAATAGAAAATCCTAATTTCCAGCACATTAAAAAAAATCATTTTCCCCATACATTATAGGCGCAACACAAGTTGAAATTCTGTTATTATATTTTTTCTTTTACTCACTGAATTACCTAAGGTACTTTCTTTATTTTATGTCAGTTAAATATATCAGATAACGAAATAAAAAGTTGGTAACAAAAAAAATAGACGGGGGAGACGGTTACTAGAAACAATTTTATGTGGCCATTTATTATTTCAGTATTTTGTTTCTCTCTCCCTTTTTCTTCCAATTTAAATGGAACTGATTCAAAGTATTAACTATGGGGAGGCACGCTGCACCTTCAACAACAGATAAATAATGATAAATCTTAGGCTGCCGCAAAAGGGCTGTAAATGCATTGTGTTAAATTTGTTGTTATTATTTTTGTTTGGCGGGGGGGGGGGGGAGAGATAACGATCTTCTTGCAGACAGCCCACGAAAATAAATGTCGGTCTGCTTTTCAGACTAATCTCTTTCTCTCGGAGGACAGGTAAAAGAAGACACGCTCCTATCTGATCCGTGCACGACTCGCATCCTTGATCTCATTTAACCAATTTCGTTGCCATGGGGATATGGATGTAGTTCGAATCCTTGCATACGTGCTCGGAAAGTATATCGCTTTTAGTTATACCCAGGAATGCATTACAGGAAAGGATTGCAGCATATAATTGCTAAAATACGAATTGATGCAAATTTCATGTTGTAAAGTTGATTCACTACTCAGATATGGGTAACAAAATTAGTGTACGTCAAATATTTAAATTCATTTGAGAGTTGCGTCTGAATGTGATTTACACTCTCATGATAAAGTTGAAAGCACACATGCATCTGCCCCATATTTTTTCGGGAACTGTTGATGAAGGAAAGAGGATGGTTTTGAGAAAAGGGGGAAAGAGGATAGGTAATGATAGGGAGAGAGG